AGTAGTGCAGACTTAGGGTACCTTTTTTAATTATAGAGTCATATTTCAAAGATGGGTACTGTGAAATCATAGACTGTTGGCAAATGGTTGAGTACAATGACTTAAATTTCACTCTTAACTAATGATAATTCTCTTTTCATTACCAGGAAGCCTGTCTGGCTACAGTTTGGTAGAGGGTCAAGAAAGATGATTCAGAAGCATGTCCTTTAAGAGTCTTGGTGCCACGCACAGAGCCCAGTTACTTTAGTCTGGGTGTGGTGAGCTGACTTCAGAGTCTATTGTGTGAGTGTTTTTCACTTTTGAGTTTGTTTTACTTTTCTCATGTCCCCAGCCTTATTTGTGAGTGCAATCTAAGGAAAGTATATTTGTTTTGCAAGCACACTACGGTTTGCTCAGATTTTTAAATGACATATGTAGGATTACACCCTCTTTATTCTGTCAGTGTTTCCATTAAAAATTCAAACTTTCCGGGATTTATTACACAGCCATAACAAATTGCTCCAGGCAGAAACTTGGCAAACCCTCCTTAGTGTGGGAGAGAAATTCTTGTTAGCATTTTTAAAAAGATAAAAATAAATAAATGTTTACCAACTCAACTTACTCATGTGATTTTGTGATAGGGAAGACAGTCAAATCAAATACGCATTATATCTTCACATGTTTGTCATACAAATTTGAAATATTAATATTAGCTTCTAAGTCAACTTTTGCTCAAGAGTTATACAATTGTTCCCCCACTACCTCCCAAATTTTTAATGATTCTAGTGTTTGATTCTCTTATTTGGAAGTCTGATTGATTCTGGCAGGGGCTGGATCGATCAGCTATGAATCTTTGCATTTCATCGTGGTAAAAATTAACAATTTTCCAAAGGTAAAGTTTGTTCTGCTCTGAACTCCTAGCATATTAAGATGTCTTACTCAATTTTATATTCTCAGGTCCAGTTATTGTAGATGTAGAATAAATGCTTGTAAATAATACATACATAAACATATTAACTAAGAATAACTTTGAAAAACCTGTAAAACTATAAAAATGTTCTGTATCTTTAGTCTGTATAATTTCCCTCATTTACCAACACCTCAAAGGATTATTAAAACGATTAAATGACTCAATATTATGAAAGCATGACCTTGTTCCATAACTTGTTTGATACTTGGGTTTTATTACGTATCTTATCTGCTTCAAGGGCGTTTTTGAGGATGCAATACAAAAGAGTAGTGAAAAGTATGAAATGCAACGTAGGTATAACTGAAATCTAAAACTTCACCACTGCAAGCATTAAGGACAAACCCCTAAAATTATTGTGAATGTAAACACAGGGAAAGGCCCATGGACCTTAACCAACCTGTATGACACCAAATGAAATGAACTTACCTGATGTAGGGTCCCGTGAACTGACTCTGTTAGGGTTGCCTGATTCTGTATCGTGGTACCTTTGTTTTTGAGTAGAGCAAAGGTGAGGCATCTTTTTCACTTTTGAGGTCCAATTTCTTTGAACAATTCAAGCCTAAAACTCTAAAGAAGTTTATCTTTATTTTCTTCAACTTCCAGTCTGTTCAATTACATAGTTGTTATGACCTGGGAAGCTGTTTGTGTTTGTTCGGTTGTTTGGCTTCATTTTGAACTACGTAACAGGCTACTTCCAATGAAAACATTTACTACAATTTAAAATCTGTCGTGATGTGGAGAAACCTGTGTGCCGGTTTTATTAAGCACTCTTGTGCTCCCTCTGCTGCCATGAAGAAAATGTTCATGTTCAAGACCCCAGTACATTCCTCAGCAGAGCATTCTCTTTCGGCAATAATGATGCAGATTTGTGCTCTTAAAATGCAGTAGTATTTATCCAAAGCATATAATGTAGTAATTCTTCATTGCAATGCACAAATTAATAAAAGGCTGTAATTAATAAAAAGGAGAAAGAAAGAAATAGAGGAATTAACTTCTGCACCTGTGCCCCAATTTATTTAGCTTGATCCCTGTGGTATCGACCACTGCTCTTCACATGATCATGTGTTTAGGAATCACCCAGGGACCTGGTTCAAGAAAGATTCCGATTTGGTATTTCTGGGGTAGAACCCTTGACTTTGAACATCTAAAAACTCCTTAGTGCTGCTGCGGCTACTTTAAAGACTACACTTTAAGAAGTAAGAGTGTAATATGTAATTATATGATGTATTTGCTGGTCCATTTAAAATCTTCAAGAGTAGATATCACCAAAACAGTAAAATAGGTCTGTGATTACAATTATTTTTCATGGCATTTAAGCAATCTACAACACAGTTTATGAGTCAAGCTCATCGGGCCTTATTTATGTATTTCCTGTAATTCCAAAGGTTGGCTTATGCTTGCACAAATATAACATCAGCTTTATGACTAGGACTATAGTACTATATATTTGCCTACTAGCTTCTTGAAAGCTCTGCCCTTTCTCATTGAGTTTTTATTTGCATGAGAAAGTCTTGTTTCTAAAGAATCAGTGTCTGTTATTTGTGATTGTACATTTAATATTTTGCCATCTGATAACAAAATATTTCAGTACTAAAGGTAATGAGACTGTTTCATGAGTATGGTGTTTATGCTGGATCTTGCAGGAAGAAATAGTTATAGCTTTTGGTGGCAGTTTATGGCTTTAATCTCAATGGCTAAGAAAGTAAATGACACATTTCTTATTGTTTTTACCATTTGAGTAATATACATATTTAGCTTCCTTGAGAGAACATTTAAATTAATTGACTAACTCTAATCTGAATTATGTGTTTCAAGGTTGTTAAAATCATGTAAATTAACTGGTTGTGCCAACATAATAATTACAATATTAGCTTTTTAACTGAAAATTATCTAAATGTAAGATGTCTAAAAATAGAGTGGAGGTGGATTGGACAGTTTGCAGATTATGAGTTGGAATAAAAACATCGCAGTTAAGCCAAAAACATGGCAACCAATATTTTCTGTTATAAAAATATTTGAGATGAATTTAGTTTTTATGAAAGCTGTCTGAAACTGAAATGAATAGCAGAAGCTTTCTGTTTATTCACAGTCCAGTAATAATAATACCTGCAGCACAAAGCATGCGTCTTTTCTGTATAAAGCCAACAAGCTTCTGCTCCTTCCTGAAGTCGACTTTGCCAAGTAGGGGGTTGGGGTCGGGGGTGAGGATAGGGGTGGGGGATATTTTACTCGGTTATGCTCTGACGTGCCAACCTTCACCTTGACAAAGCTTGTGAACGAAAACAAAACCTATCAGAGTCTTTTCAAGAAACTGATGTTAACTGTCCGCTAGAGGCTGTAATGAGACCAACAATGTCACTTTAGAGACCAACCCGAGGTTTCAACCTTAACAATCATCGATTTTTAAATGGGGGGGGGGGGGGAGGCGAAGAAAGTTGTAGAAATGAGTAAGAGTTAACAGTAGTAGTTACATTTAAATAGCCACTTACATGTACACGGCATTTCAAAAATGTGAGAAAAAATATTTCCGGGGCTCTGCACTTTCCTCGCTCGTATGTTTATTTTTTATTTCAGGCGCACGTAGGCTCTTGCAGGCCAGAGTTGTGTAAAACCTGACACATGTTTTGATCATTCTCTGCCCTGCCTCAGTTGGTGACTAACCGTTAGGTCATAAGTAAACTCAGCCAAAAGGTCTCTCAAATACAGCTTACAGTCAAGAGCGGTGGCTTTCAGAAAGAAACTTACGCGAAGGGGTCATGTTTCCAGACACCTAGTTCTAAGCACCTGAAAGAGGTCAAACGTTGCCCGACACCTACTGGCCTTCCAGAATCATCTGCAACAAAAACGCCGCGCTGAGCGCTGGTAGTCTGCAGGCGCCTCCCTGTCCTCCAGGTGCCACACCTGTTGGCAATGTTAGCCCAGCTGAAGAAGATTCCTTCGCGTGGAGGTCACACCTGGCGGCGGGACGGGCGGAGGGGCGGGCGGGGTGGTGGGAGTAGCGGACTGCACTAAAACACCGAGTCCGGACTCAAGTTCATCGATTCCCGAGAGCTGCCATTTGATGCTCCGGTGGCTTTCTCTGTCTCCTACACTGGTTACCTCATTTCCGATTAAATTAATGATCCCAAATTAGCTGCGAGAGGAGCGCGCGGGTCTCCTTTCCAAGATAGAGCGGAGTAAGTAGCTCCAGATCGAAGCCGATTTCCGGACCTGCGGAGAGAGAGAGGGCACGGCCGGGCGTTCTCAAGCAGCGAAGGTGAGGTCGCCTGTGCAGTCGGGGGACCCCGGGAAACTTTGCGGAGTTGCACGCAGAGGCAATCCCCGCGGCCCCCGGGCCTGGGTTCCGGAACGCCGCAGCGACGCCGGTTTGCGGGTTAAAATAACGTGCAGCTGATGATCCGAGGGAGCCCTTTTAGACGCGGCTCGGGGCGTCGGGGACCCAGGGCACGTCGGGATTAGAACAGGCCGACCTCCCCTCCCCCCTGGGGTGTTTCATTGGTTGCCAGCTGAAGCCTGACACCCCTTGGGGGAGTCCCCCAGGTTGCCAGAGCAGCGCCCCGCGGTCGCTCGGTCCCCTCCAACTAGGTGCAGGGACCCAGGGAGGCGCTCGAGGACCGACCGGTCACCGCTCCAATTACCTCATCGCGCAGCTCCCCGCCCACTTCCCAAACCTGGAAGGAACCTTGCCCTCCGGCCCGCGCCTCCCCTCCCCCGCGCCCCGTCCCGAGCCGCTCTTGGGGAAAGGTGCCCGCCTCCCCGGGCCACGCGCCGCGAAGGGTTAAGGGCGCGGGCCGGCCGCCGCGCGGTGCGCTCAGGGCTCGGTGCTGCTCGCCGGGCCGCCCGCCAGAGGGTGCCCCCCACCCCCATGAAGTCGGATCCTTGAGCTGCGGCGGCGGCAGCCAACTGCTCCATATTTGGCTTCTATTACACATTTACATACTGGAGCGAGCGAGCGAGCGAGCGCGAGAGAGCGCGAGGGAGGGAGGGCGGAGGGAGGAGGGAGGGGAGGGAAGCGGGAGGAGGGGGAGGAGGAGGAGGAGGAGGAGGAGGAGAGAGCAGAGTATACCGCAGACATCATTTCTACTACAGTGGCGGAGCCGTACAGGACCTGTTTCACTGCAGGGGGATCCAAAACAAGCCCCGGGGAGCAGCAGCCAGAGCAAGAGCAGCCGCCAGACATTGTTTCTCTCCCTCTGCCCCCCTTCCCCACGCAACCCCAGATCCATTTACACTTTACAGTAAGTGGCTATTTTTTTTCCTCCTCTGATTCTTTCCCCCCTCCCCCATCCCCTTCTCCCCTTATTTAGATTAATATCCCTCCTCTCCCTATCTCCCGAGAGGGGCAAAAGCAACAACCAGCAAACAAACCCAAAACCCCAATCGGCTGCACGGAAAACAGCTGGAAGAGGAGCGAAGGGAATCGACGCGTCGTGTTCTGTGTGTGTGCGTGTGCGTGTGCGTGTGTGTGTACATACAACCGTCCTCGGCTCCAGGCTCCCGGGCCGACACCCCCACTCTGGGCGCAGGGGCGGCCGGCTGGGGGGAGCTGTCAGGGGCCGGGTGGGCTCCCGCCAGGCTAGGGGGCGCGCCCGGGCGGAGGGTGCGGGCAGGGAGAGCGGCGGCGGCGCCCCGCTCCGGGGGCTGCTGGTCCGGTCGCGAGTGCGGAGAGCCATGTCCTCTTCCCTCCGGGTGGCGCAGGGGGAGGCGGCGGCGGCCGGGGTGGCGGGGGCTGGTCCCTTTCCCGGCCCTCCTCTTCCCATTCCTCCTCCCCGGAGAGGGTGGTGAGGGGGGGGGTCTCGGGGAGGGCTGCACTTCCCCGCGGGTGGTCGCCCGGCCTCGGCGCCCCGGGGCAAGGGTCTCCCCTCGGTGGCCGGCCTCGCCGGGTGTACGGCTGTGGGCTGGGAAGGGACTGCTCCAGCCAAGGGGCTGGGACTTTGCGCGCGGCCGGGTGCCGGGCGGGGGGCGCGGAGGGGTGGCCTCGGGGACCTCGCCGGGGTAGCGGGTGTGCGGGTGCCTGGAGCGCGGCTGGAGTGGCGGTGGCGGCCCTGGCTGCCGCCGCCACCGCCGCCCTGTTGGTGCGGCCGCTTCCTGATCATGTGCAGCGGCCGCCGCCGCCCGGGGCCGGGAGCCCGCGAGCGCCCCGGTCCGGGCCGGCGCCCCCGCCAGCACCCGCGGCAGGAGCCGAGGAACCGCGGCAGGCGCTGCCCGGAGCCGGGACTGAACGGCTGCGCGGCTGCTGGGAGGGTGAATGAAGCCAGGAGGAGGGGAAGGAGGAGGAGGCGGCGGCGGCGGAGGAGGCGCTGCGGGGATTGGGATGCGCCCTGGAGCCCCGCTGCTCGTTCACTCTGGGCCGGGCCGGAGACTCTGCCACTCCCGGGGCCGGGGCCGCCGCCGCCTCCTACGTGGTTCCAGCGCTGCGCGCAGGCCGGTCCCGCAGGGGGCAGGGAAGGGGGCCGGACGGGCGGAGCGAGAGGTGAGGCGGTGTCGGAGCGCGGCGTGTGAGTGAGTGTGTGAGTGAGTGTGTGTATGTGTGTGTGTGCGTGCGCGCCGGGCGGGGGGCGAGGGCCGTCGCGATGCGGAGGGGGCCCCTCCTCGGCCACTTGGCTGACTGCAGCGCCCCGACCCCACCTCAGTCCCCCGCCTTCAGGCTGCCTTCTGAAACTCCGCGGCTTGTGCTTTCATTTTATTTCAGACCACGTAGGGGGCTGACTGGAAGCGATGAAACAATTCAGGTTTTCTAGGGAGATTGAGCAAGAACCTTAGCGGGGGGTGGAAGTAGGGTGGTGATCGAGACTCAGCCAGAAAACAAAACAAAACAAAAAAATCAGTTTCTAAGGACTGCGGGGGTTCGGTTCGAGCCGGTGGCTGGTCTGTTTTGTTTTGCTTTCTTGGTATATAATCCTACAGATAAAAAGGTAATGTAAATACTTGAGAAGATTGGGAAATTGCTGAAGAGTAGTAAGGGCAGGGGAAAAAAAAAAAAAAAAGCCAGTCGGAAGAAGCTGGTTATATAATGCGCGATGTGGCTAACAAGAAAGGCAAGCTATTTTTATTTTGTTTACCGTATGCTGTGCAGTAGGGACTCCTCCAAACTGGTTCTGTCCCCGAAGAGATTCTGAGCTTCCCTGTGAGATCCACAGGATACAATTAGCAAAATTAGAAGACCCTATTACACCCACAGAATAAAAACTAATGCCTTACAGTGGCTTTCTGCCTGCACATTCGTGCATGCCCAGGAATGTGTGTATGCAAATGAGTTCTCCTTTGGCAATCTAGTAGTGCACATCTCAGTGACATTTGTGTTTTATAATGCAGGCTGTTTTTAATATTTAAACATCATCGTTATATATTGCACACAGCAGTGGGTAGTTACTTGGTGATTATTTTTAGGCATAGCTACTTTTTCAACAGTGTTAGCTAAGACATTTCTGTTTGGGTTTTTTAGGAGGCTGCAGTTCCTAGAAGCCCCTGTTAAGCCCACCCTTGGGTTTATTTGGTGGGTAAAGGTAGTTTGATACTTGGGCTTTTTTTTTTTTTTTTTTTTTTTTTTTTTTTTTTGGAATGAAGCTTATGCCTGAGGAAACCACCAGAGAGAAGAGAAAATCCTGCATAGGGACTCTTGGAAAGGGATTGTACCATAAAGGCTAGTGCTGTGGCATTTAATCTCCTCTGATTGCCCTCTCACTGTGCATGCATCAGTCAATATTTTAGCAGCTCCGCAAATAAATGAACTTGAATGCCATCTTCTACATAAAGCAGAGGTTGAAGGGCTCCCTTGAACTTCCTGGCTGGCTGTCAGTGGTGTAGGTTTTCGGTGCACTTACTCCAGCCCTGATCACTCATGTAATTAGATCAGGCTGCCATGGCAACAGACAGTGTTCCTCGTCCATTCAGGTGGGTTTGTCTTGTGCCTGAACTACTCTAAGTGTTTTATGCGCAGCATTTATGCTGCCCAAGCTAGACGAAAGACTCCACTATTTCAATTGCATCTTCTTTCAGTCGTTTGGATGGGAGACACTGAAGGAGGCTTCTAACTACTCAACTTTTATAAAGGAGACCAACAAGCTGTTCTTCCTAGGTGCAGTATGTAAATGCATCTCCCCAGACAGTGAAAGGAGCCTGACAATCCTGCTGGTGTTTATTGTGAACAGATCAACAAGTATTTGGTACTTGTTAGAAACCTTTCAGAGCTTACTAAAGCAACATTTCTTTTGCAGTCTGGTGCCTTTGGCCGTGCAGGCACTTAACCCTTTCAAGTGTGAAGAACGTTCATCCTTTGGAACCTGCATTGCCCATAGCAATGGCTTGATTTCTAAAGGATTTACTCAGAGGAATAACTTATTCGGAAAATATATTCCCATTGTCACATTTTTAAACTTGACAGCCATCATAACAAAAACTGGTACTGACAGTAGGCAGACATTCTGAATGTATTCATTCTCAATTTGGATCTATTGGCTGTGATTTGAATGATCTTTGATAGTAAGTGAAAAGGATTTTTTTTCCTTAGCTAAGTAAGAAATGATAGAGGCCTATAGCTAGAGGACAGATAATGCATGGTGCTTTTGCACAATAAACATGTACTTTATTTTAGGATGTAATTTAGCGAACAGTTAGAAAGCAGTATTCTAGTCTTTGCATAAGGGCACCACTATATGAAGGCTGCTAAGCAAAGAGAAATAATACTATGGCAAAAAGGAAAAAGGAAAAATTTCTTTAGTTGCTGAAGCTCTGTGCTGCTCAGGTAATCCAAGTAAGCAGGCAGGGGGAGGTGGGGAGAGAGGAGCATTTTAATAACCTGGTATTTGAAAGAAAAGATAATTGAGAATATGTCTTGATTTAGTTGTGACTGCCGGTCAGTTTACAATTTTATGGCCAACATAGCTAAACTGGTCAATTTTTTCCCCCCAGGCCTCAGATTGAGAGAGCTACTCAACTCTATTCACAGGGGGTTTATGAGTTTCTACCATTTCCTGAGTTTATGTGGTTGGTAAATTCATTGTGGCCTGGTCAGATGAAGCATTGCTGTGGTTAAAATGAGCTATTATTTCTGGAAGGTAAATTGATGGGAAGCAAGGATGTCAGTAAGGCACAGAAGTTTAACACAATGCCTTGGAGGTCCTGGATTCTATTTTGCAACATACAGAAAAATGCTTTACTTGCAGTAAAATGTGAACATATATTTTTCAGTGCACAAATTCATGTTAGAATAAGTGTAAAAAATGTACTTGATCGGAACAGTGAAAGGAGTGTTTTTCTTTTGGGATTTCGTTTTAAGAGGGTTTGGTAAACAGAAGTGATACTTTGTTAAAAATGTTACAACTAGACTTCAGAGCTTCTGAATGGTCTTTTACACTTAGAGGAAGATTAAACAAAAACTCTTTAGCCTCGAGATTAGGTGTCAAATGCCTGTAAGTTTCAACATACCTAAGTCAGTTGTCTAGGAGTCCTGGGAAAGGCCAGTGCGAAGAGATTATTGAAATACGAGTACCAGTAAACATTACTGTGACTCCTGTTTTTGTTGCCATTATAGAGTCCAAGAACTCACATTTCTTTTGAATAATGTAGCGCCTTTATTGTTTTTCATTCTGGAATGTCAAGTCGATTTTACTTTTTTGTGCATACCTTGAGTGACAGTTTCTGATGACTAACACTGTAACACTCATTTTGTTTCCTGTTAAAAGTTAAGCAATAAACATATTTTACTAAAATTCTGAAACTCACCCTAAGTAGGTAAATGTGGGAGTGAATGTTAATACTTTAAACTGTAGTTATCTGAAAATAACACATAGATTAGGATCTGAACAGCTTAAATACTTGCATTGGTGAAGTGACACAGTGCAGTAAGATAGGATATCGTTTTTAAGGGAGAGATAGATTATTTGACTTTCCTTGCTTTATATTTTCAGAGTAATTCAATAGTTTGAATGATTAGTTTCTGTGAGAGATTTAGATCTGTGCAGCTTAATTGCTTCAAAGAACAGATTAAGTTCTGGTCATACTTCCAAGGTTATCAGAAGCAGGCCCTCCTTTTTTTGTTAAAAGCATCGAAAGCAATAAATTGTAGAAATGGTAACAGAAATAATAATTTCTGTTTTAGGACCTTACATATAGAACTGCTTTTTCTAAGATAAGAAATTTTTAGTCGTCAATTAGGTTCACGTTTTATTTTCTTGTTATTTTGTCTATTAAAGTAAATTTACTCATTCAAAATTTCTTTAAAAAGCAATATAGAATG